GGCAGAGGCAGCTGCTGAGTGCGGGTAAATAATTGATGCTAAAGGCAGGAGGCGTGGCCGCGCCTCTGATGTTCTGCAGACCAAAGGCACAGAAAGGTGCCGCAGCCGGCACCTCCACCCACTCAGCCATCTCTGGCAACGCAATTACAGTGCATGTTTTCTAGAATTACCTGAAATTATAGGGCAAGGGAGGCATGGTGGAAGTGGTTATGGAGTAGACGTCATCGTTTTTCTCTTACTCGGCTTTTAGCGTGAGGCGGGCGTCCCGAGTACTGAGACGGTTAGAGCCATGCTTTCCTTCCAAGCAAAATTTGAGGGACAGGGTGAAGGAGGAGGAAGGGGGATGTGTTGGAAAGATTTTTGCTTTAGAAAGCGTGTCTGGCTGAAAAGTAAAGGATGCTCTATTCGTTTGCTACAGCTGCTGAAACAAATGACCCTAAACTTAGCTCAAAACGGTGCAGGTTTAAGATGTTCTTGTTCAGGGGGTCAGACGTGTGGTGCAGCTCAAGTCAGGGTGTTGCTGGGATTGCCCTGCTTCGTGGAAGTTCAGCGCGGAGTGTGCCTCCTTGCTCATCCGGGGTTGCTGGTGGGATTCAGTTTGGCAGGGGTGGGACTGAGCTCCCGTTTTCTTGCTGGTGCTTGGTGAGGGCCACGTTCAGCCCCTGGCACCTTCCTCCCCACCGTCAAACCTAGCAGCCCAAGTCCCATGGCCCTGGCCACTCTTCTGCCTTGCTCTCCTACTTGAAGGACTCGTGTGATTCTGCGAGGCTCACACAAAGGGCCCAGGATCATCTCCCCATCTCGAGACCCTCACCCTGGTCACCCCTGCCAAGGCCCCTTTGCCATGTCAGGTCACGTAGTCACAGGTTCCAGCGGTTATGGGGTAGACATCTTTGGGGCCATCATTCTGCCTCCCACAGATGGATGCCATCGGGTGGGGTGTTCTTAGAGACTGCAGCCCGGTTAGAGGGTGCTGTGGTGCCGGACTGTGGTAAAGCTGCCGTCACGCTCTGTGCGCAGTCTGCGACAGGTGTGTGGGCTTGGGGGCTGGGGAGTCCCAGGATTAGGGGCAAAGCATCCCGGGCCCTTCTCTCACTCCTCTCTCTTTCCTGCCCTGGTGATACTCCGAGGAAGAGAAATGCAAAGCACAGCAAACTACTTATTTTAAAGAGACTGCAGAGTTTTAATGACATCTGACCTTTGGCCACCAATGCTGAGTTTCCTCTCTGAGCAGTAGGTTGAGGCTGAGGAAGGTGCTGGAAGAGGGAGGGTGGAGAGAGCTTGGGGTCCTCCTTTCCATTGTGCAAGCATGTAGTATGCCAAGGGGAAACCTAAGCAGTCGTCTACGGAAATAAATGAATAAATGAGCATGTACACATATACATATGTGTACATATGTGTGCACATACACATGCACACGAATGGACGTGCACTCACACAGACATGCACACACGTGAACACATGCACACACTACACACTCGCACACACATGCACACGCAGGAGTACATGCACACAAGTGCACATCAAGGCTCTGGTGGATGGGGTAGCTCTCTAGTAACCTTTTTTTTTCTTAACAGCTGGAGCTCCACCTGCAAGAAAAGAGAGAGGACATCCAGGTTCGGTGGTCCTTCATCAGCGTGCCGGAAATGGCCATTAAGGTCCAACCCAAAGCACAGGGGGAGGTCAGTGCGTAAGTTTGCATGATTTTTCCACCGGTGTGCGTGAGAGCGCGTGCGCACAGGGCAGCCTGTCAGGGAGCTGAGGCTCTGCGCACCTCCCATGTGGCAGCCTCCTCCCCATCCCTAGCTGCCCTCCCCAGGCTGACTTGGGTCTCCTGGGACGTGGAGTGGGCCTTTTGGCTTGACAGGGCGCAGTGGGGTGGGGGCTTTGATGGACTTAATCAGGGCTCTGAACCTGGGCTGCCCCTGGACTCGCCTGGCCACTTTGCAAACTCCTGAAGCTTCCCCCGCCCCAGTGCGATTTAATTGGCTGGGAATTTCTTAGCACTCGTGTGCAGCCAAGGGGAATGAAACCGTGGGTCCCCTAGGCACCCACTGTCACATCCTCTCTCCACCGTGAGGGCACTTTACTGAAAACTCAGGCTGAGGCCAAGTCCAGAGGCTGACTCCCAAGGGCAGGGCCTCCTTTCTTTCCACAGTTCTTACAAGGATGCATCTAAAATCTGGGGGTAATTTCCTTCCTATCTTGCGTGGTTTTAGGTGTTTGAGGAGGTGAGCTTGGGAGCAGGAAGCGGGCATGTGATGTTGATTTGATGACTTTCTCCTCTCTGCAGGACCAGGGGGCTGAGACAGGTGCAATATCTGACACCCTCAAGGACATCCTAAAGTGCGCGGTTGGCTCTGCCTCCCCGTCAGTGGTTCTGAGCGCCAGGCCTGTGAATGTAACGGAAGTTCAGGTGAGCCTTTTTGAGGGGTCTGCTGCTTCTGAACCCTGCTAGGGACCACGGGCCCCTCTCTGGGAGGATTCGTGTGCACTTCCAGCGTTCTCGTGGGAGACCCGAGATTGCACAGATGCTGGTGGACACTGACCGGGGTCTCGGGATAGAGCCTCAGGTTCGGACTCGGGGTGCCGCGCTCCATGAGGTGGAAGGAAGAGGCTGCTGGGCCACTCGGCAGAGTCCCACCCTGACCGGGCCCTGGTTCTCTGCTTTTCATGAACCCAAACTTGACTTTTCATGGTCTACTCAGAGCCTTGGACCTCATCCTTCTAGGACCGAGGTACCTGGGACGTGAAATTAGCCGTGAGAACACTGGCCCGGACTTGAGCAGAGGAGGGCGCAGTGGATGGGCTGAGACGACTGAGTCCAGGCTAGGGCCAGCCTGCTGCCCGGCCCTGCCCTCGGTAGCATGTGAAGCTCTATGTCCTTTGGGTGGTGCAGACAGAGGAGGCTGCTCTTGCCTGCGCGGCCCCTTTTCCGTGCTGCCTGCCTCTCTCCCCATCCTCAGCCCGTCTGCACCACCTGACGGATGCCACTTCTCTGGTTAAATTCCCGTCCGGGGCTTTTGTCCCGGTGAGCAACACATCACCAGCCCTCTGCTCAGTCACAAGCTGGTGCTTTCATCATGACGATGTAAAACAGGCACTTACGGTCCCTAAAGTTAAAAAAAAAATTATTGGCGCTGATTTTTACATGGCGTGATTTATTGTGCAGTTCTTGGTGAAGTCAGTTTGAAAATATAATGTTCAATGTGATTTGTGTGGTGCAGACTCTTGGTCTCTGGCCTCATCAGGGCAGGTGTCGCCAGCTGTCGGTAGGTAGCGTCTGGAGACTTTGGTTCTTTGGACACATGTCAGCTCGTCACTGTTTTGTGCCGAGCTCTGGCACTGGGGGTCACGAGAATATAGGAAACCACCTGCGCCCTCCCGACGCATATGGTGCGGCAGAACGGGCAGTGGGGCCGCAGGTGGCAGCAGGGGGCTGGCGGGTGTCCTGCAGGCTGCCCGGGGCCCGAGGCCGGGACGGGGCTCAGCCGCCCCAAAGAGAGGGGGAGGCTGTGCTTGCCGGGTGGTGAGAGCAGAGTCTCAGCTCTGTCCCTTTTAGTGATTCTGTCACAGTGGTTTATTTCAGATGGGAGTTGACTGTTCTGAATATGACAATAAATTTTTAACGTCAGTTGAGAAATGTCATAAAATAGTAGCATATGTTTAGAATCCATGGATTTGAAAAATAAAAGGACCAAAACTACCATAAATCCAATAATGCTTTGAAATATGTTCGTAGAGTATATTTATCAAAATGGCATATGTAATATTATAGTTTAGGGTTTTCTGGAGAAACAGAACCAGTATGTGTGTGTCTCAATAAATGTATTATAAGGAATTGACTCGTGAGTGTGAAGGCTGGAGGTGTGCAGTAGACAAGCTGGAGACCCAGGAGGCCTGTGCTTTGATCCTAGTTCGAATCTGAAGGCCTGAGACCCAGAAGAGCCAATCGTGCGAGTCCCAGCCCAAGGCCAGCAGGCTCAAGACCAGGAAGATTCAGTGTTTCAGTGCAAGGTGGAAGGCAGGGAAGGACCTCCGTCCCCGCTCAAGGCAGAGGCAGGAGCCCTTCCCCCTCATTCGCCAGAGGGTCAGCGTTTTGTTCCATTCAGGCCTTCGACTAATTGGATGAGGCCCCCCCACAGCAGGGAGGAAAGTCTGCTCTACTCGGTCTACGGAATGCAAGTTACTCTCACCCGGAACACCCTCCCAGATACATCCAGAATCATGGTGGACCAGATCGCTGGGCACCACGACCCGGCCAAGTTGACACATAAAATTAGCCATCACACATGCAGAATTGAAAATGTGTTTCATCTCCTTCCCTGACGTGTGGATTGCTCTGTCCACAGTGCTCACGTGCCTGCATTTTAAGGACTTCTGCAGTGACCCCCCCAGCGCTCTCAGCTCACGTTTGGGAAGCGCCTGTTTCAGAACTGTGTTTCCTAGATAGGGACTCAAGAACACTGGTGTCGCTTCAGTTGTTAGTGAGTGTTCCCCCCAAGGAGCGCTCAGGTCAGTCAGCAGCAAGGGGCTCTGCCTGGAGGGCTCTCACTGCAGAGGGGCCTGTTCTGTCTCTGAGAATCCCTCTGGGTTCCCCCACACTTGCAATGTAAGGCGCCCCTTTTACGAAACACTTGCAGCAGTGAGTGAGTTTTCCGGTTTGGAAAACACTGGTTTGAAGATGGGCTTCTTCAAATTTGGGGGTGCTTTCTGGTGCCTGATGGGGGACATGTTGAGATGGCAGCTGGTGCCAGCCGTGCCTGCCTCTGTTCCTCATTTGTGCAATGCCAGGCGATGCTTAGACATTCCTCACACGGACGTCAGACTCTGCCTGCAGGTGGGAAACAGGTGCAGGCTGTGGCCCTCCCTGGCTGGTTCTGTCTGGCCGTGTCCTGCTCTGTGCTAGTGGGCAGGGGGCGCCTGCGGCCTGGAGAGGACATCCTCACGCTCTTAGCGCCTGCCCTGGGTCAGATAGTGTGTGCCCATGGCAAACCGAGCTCCCATTCTCCACCCACGGGGAGTTTGGGGACCTGCTCTGTGGCTGAATGCCTTGCTACGTGCACTTGCTTTATTTGGGTAGAAAAGGCCCAGGCAGTGGAGCGGTGAGGGCTCCTCGGCTCCCTCCCTTCCCGTAAGAAGGGAAAGCTGTTTGAGAGCAGACCCCAGGACTCAGGCCCCCTGTGCGGGTTTTATGTAGATCCCTCCCCTCTCCATAACAGGAGTCCAGCAGCCACCTCCTTGGTCCTTGGTCTCCCCATGGCCAGTGCTTTTTATTTCCTTTTTTGCAGAATCTACAGTGTGCTCCATCTACTGCTCAGGAATCCTGCCCTCCTAAGCCTCCAAGGGCTCACGAACTAAAACTGCTGGTGAAGAACATCCGCGCCTCGCTGCTAAACGATCCTGGTGCTTCAGGTGGGTGGCGGCAGGGACCTGGTTTGTCTGTGCAGAAGGGGCTGTCCCTGCACCCGGGTGAGTGGAGGGCTGCCCCGTGGCTCTAAGTGGCCCTTGGCTTCTCCTGTGGCAGCCTCCTGGGTGTCTGCAGCTGAGCCCTGCCTTTGTTTGAGAGGAGCGCTGGAAGAACCTAATGGTAGGACGAGATGGTTAAAAATCTACCCCTCCTTTTGCACGTGGGAAGGCGGCGGGAAGAAAGGCTTATGATTGGTTTGTCCTCTGTCTTTGGTCTGGAATGTTCCTGTCTTTCTTTTCCCTTTTTTTCTTTTTTTTTTTGACAATTGAACCTGTAAACACACGTTAAGCTCCCAGACCAGTATGCAGCTTCTGCTTTCCTGGAAACTGGGGGGCCAGGTAGATGGCTGATGGGGTGTTGGAGGCCTTCTGGCTCACTGGGGACCCCGGGGTTGGGAGATAGTGGCCGCTGTCGGAGCCAAGACTAGAGCAGCGCAGAGCGGACAACCCTTTCTGGGTGATTCTGCGTCGTTGCCGAGGCCCCAGATGCAGAACCACCAAGGACGGGACACTTCTTTACACCGCGACTCAATTTTGCTAAGAGTAGGAAGTTCTTTTTTATTGTCTGAGAATGTTAGAAGTGACTTACCTTTATTTGCAAGGGTTTTCTTCCAGGTGCAAAAGCACAGACAGGCCACATCTAACAACTGAGACCTTTTGCCATGCTGGTTATGGATGATTTTCTTGGTCAAAGCACTTAAATGTTGCCCTTTGAGCCTGTACTGGCCAGAGGCTGAGAGCGGCTCCCTGGACTCCTTTGGCCGGGGCTGGGTCCCAGCTGCAGCACGTGCCTGCCGTGAGACAGGGCCCTGATCCTGCCTCTGCAAGGATGTCCCCCCTTGCAGGGTGATTGTGAGAGTTAAGTAGGAGACCGTGTGCAGGGTCCTTACCACCTGCGGCATGGCAAAGGGGAACACGTGCTGTTGGTTATAGATCACACAGCATGCTAGGGACCTCGCGCCACGGCGCGAAGCCTTGCCTCAAAGCAGGAACAGCTGTTCTCTGGTGAAATGTCCCTTTACTGCAGCCGATACCCCCAAAGGCCTTTGATGGAGCTGCGTCGGGTATAATAACACCTGCCTGTTGTGAGTAGGGAAGTGGGTTCTCTGAGGTAGCTCCAAATTTAGGAGTCATCCCAAATTTAAGTTTGGGCTTTGGCAGCTGTTAGCCTTGTCTAAAAGTGGGGCCGTGTCTCTGCATATAATAGTGCCACCTCCACGGAGTGTCCCCCACCTGGGAGGCTGCACCTGTGGCCAGGACTGTTGGAGGAAGAGGGCACTTGGGGGGGATTCCTTAACCCCAGTGAAGCCCCCTGTTTTAAGAGTTTGTAAATGGCAAATGAAAGAAAGAATGCACTCTCCGGAGCGGGTAACCCAAGACTTTAGTCATTTAATTTAGCCTTTCTTTTATATGCAAACAGTGTCTTAGTGCATTTGAAAAATAAAAATAAAAGCCAACAGGATGTCCCTTTATTTGATTGTAGGCGACACTAACACAGTGTGCATAGCTGAGCTGAACGAGCCTGCTCAGAGGTTCTCCAGCGCCCTAGTGAAAAATACTAGCAGCCTCACCTGGGAAGAAGAATTCACCTTGTGAGTACAGCCCG